CCCCCCCCCCCCTAACTTTTTCTCAGCATTTATCTTCATTAGGTTCATGCATTTATGAGTGGCTATGTTAATAGAATACTTATTGTCATGTGCCTTTTTTTTACATGCCTCAGCTGCCTCCTTTTTTATTCCTGAATGACAATTTGTGGCATAAACTAAATTTTACATGTTTGGTCTTATCATTTTACAATGGTCCTGAAGGGAGATGGCCTTCCAAGGGGGAAAATAGGTTGCACTGGAGGTGGGAAATAAGCTGAAAAGGTGTTTTTACATTAATATAGCAATTGGTTGCCAGTTTTATTCAAAGTGGTATATAGATATTGTAAACTACTGTGTATATACACTATGCGTGTTTATGTATTTGCATAATTGTGCTCCTTGTTAATACAAATTGAGTTTTGTTAAAGGCAACCTGTGCTGAGGCTGCCATTGCTGATCTCTCCTGAAAATAATACTTTCATGGCTGTTGTACTGAACCACTTGCTTCAGGTTAGGAGTTCTGACTTGACTCTTCCTTACCTGCATATTTCTTACAGGCCACTGACTCGATGTATTAAAGCCAGAGACAGCCAAGCAACTAGTATTTCAGAAGGTAGTTACCAATGGCAGGCTCTGAATTATTTTAGTACAGTTTCTTTAAATCTGAACTCCTAAAAAAAATGACTAAATACACAGCTAAAATATACATATGTCAATGACCTTCCCTGTCAAAATATTTGCAAATCTGTTCAGTCAAACTTGTGATAGAGACCACTACCAGACAGCATGGCTAGGTCAGTGACTTCACTTTTCTCCGCTGCAGTTATTCAATACAGCTTGGTCACCAGCCTGCTGACTGGACAATGAAGAAATGACAGTACATTGGTAAGGCCATCCCTCTGATATATTTACATATATCTCCACTAACAGCACAAAACTGTTTCTTCCCTACCCTCACAGCATGTAGAACTACTTGACACATACTGCTAATAACCAATGAGCCCCTCAGGTTTTTTGTCTTTTTGCAGCTCTGCTTTTGTCTACACTTTAATCTGTCTCATTATGCTAAACTGTTTGCCAAGCCTCCTCTTTCTACCACCCACGCACAACCACCTCGGGAGAATAGTTTAGACTTGACTGCCTGCTAATAAAGTGTGTGAGCAGACCTAATTTTGATTTAAACAATCTAACTGATTTTTGTAAAATCAAAGAAATATATGAGGCACACTCATTCGTTTCAGAGCACGCACAGACCATAAATGTTCGATGAGCTGACTCGATGTGGTAAGGCTGCTTTTTTGGAACAAGGCTTCTCTTTGGTGGGTATCCAGAAAAGTGCTTTAAAGCATGTACATACACCACAAGCGCCAATCCGATGGTGAAAGAGTCCAGACTACGTTTAATTGTTGAACAGCCAGTGTGTTTTAGGGCCCACATTCCCCCTTTTCATCAGGGCTACAAAACCAATGCAAATCTAGTCATTTATTATGAAAAATCAAGGGTTGTATACACATTTGCATATAATATCTGAATCAAGTGAATTGCAGAAATATCTTCCACAGAGAGACCAAAAGTCAGAACTCTTCATTGGCAAACAGTAAAACGAATGAAATGAAGTGTATTTGCATGTTTGTAGCCAAATTGGGATAAAACCGACTTTTTTTTTAAATTTGTTACATATTCTAATTCACATAGCATCACTTAAAGCAAACAAACAAATACTGCTTACCTTTTTTTAGTTGCTGAAATAAATCCTTTCAGCAACTAAAATCCTTTTGGGGGTGTAAAGGTTGCAATAATTAACTCTGTACTGTGCTGGTAGAATTCATTATCTGGTGTGAACTAGAT